GTATAAACAATACTGCTGAGGTACCAAGAAATTTAGAAAATCAAAATGAAATTAATAGCAGTAGTTGAAAATTCTACAATAAGTTATCGAACCATTGCATATCAGTTTTACATTAATACTTCCACAGAATTAAAAATTTTGAAAATAAATAAATTCTGTTCCTATACATTTCGATGTCATCAAGAACTAAGATAAGGAGATGCCGAGAGATGGGCGGAATTTTGCTATGAAATTTTAGAGAGGCCTATTGCAAACATTTTTTAAAAAAACATTTTGTTTAGCGACGAATGAGCCTGAAGCCTAAAGATATTATTGAAACCAATACCCAATATCGTCGAAAAATAAATCCCTGATTAGGAATATTAGACACAATATTATTGGACCATTTTTTTTATGCGAAAAATTTAAATTCAGAAAAGTTTTTGGATTCGTTATAAGTAAAAATTTTACCGAGAGTTGAGAAGTAACTCTAGATGAAATAGAAATTTGGTTTCAAGTGGATGGATGCCCTGTGAACAATAGTCAAGACGTTAAGGAATTTATTAAAAATCGTTTTAATAATAAATTGATAGGACCTAACTGTAACATTAAGTGGGTCTCCGAGTTCGGCAAACCTAGCTCCAAACGTGTATTTTATCTGGTGGCATCTAAAATCCAAAATTTATTCTGCCCAAAAATTTACAGATATTGAAGCATTAAAAATGCGAATTAATGAAGAGTGTGCAAAAATAACGCAACGCGTTCTGACTAATGTTAGACAAAAATTTTACAATCGCTTGCGAAACTGCTTAGTACAAAATGGCAGATTGTCTGAACACGTGTTATAATTTTATGTTTACAAATTATCATAAATTATTTTTTATTCGTCCTTTAAAAAATAAAAATATAAAGTTACAATTAGGAATCACGGTCCTAGTATTTTCAAACTTTTTTAAAATCATTTAAATTGTTCTATAACCTGGAATTAGTTTATTAGAATATCTTACGCTAAATAAAGATCTGGCATTGTCACCTGAATAAAACATTATTGATTGATGATTTTTTCGTAACTATTAAGTTTATTGCTTTTTAAATATTAGTTTATAAAAATATTGACTATTATATATATATATATATATATATATATATATATATATATATATATATATATATATATATATATATATATATATATATATATATGTATGTATATATATACACTGCGCTCCAAAATTAACGCATAATTTTAAAATTATTAGTTTGAGTTGTAATGAAAAAAATTTTGTTTGTCTTTTCTGTTTTATGGTTGTTTTAGAACATCTTAAATAAAAAATTTTACTTTTTTTTCAAAAAATGTATTGAAATTAACAATATAACATCATAAATCTAAACATCTAAACAAACAACTGATCTAAACAAACTAACATTATAAATTTATGACGAAATCGAAATTTTTAAAGTTGAAGAAAATACTAATACCGTGTACTAGTATCGAGCATTGCTTCCTCTGGCACTTATTACTGCTTAACAACGATCTCTCATACTGAGAATAATCGCTCTGATTTCTTCTTGATCAATTTGATCGCAAATTTCAACCAACCGCAAAAACAGTTCATTTATTATGTTTGGTGCATTAGGTGGTTGTCGTAGTCGTCTGCCTATGATGTCCCAAACATGTTCTATTGGGTTGGGGTTAGGACTTCTCGCAGGCCAATCCATGGCAGGAATTCCAACCTCCTGCTGCACAATTCTTGCCGTGTATGGCCTGGAATTATCTTTCATAAGCATGAAATTATCCCCAATAAATGGTGCAAATGGCACGAAAGGCTATCAGAAAAAAGATAGTACCTGGATTCATCGGTGAACAATATTCTTCCCCATTCCTCATTATTCACGAGCAATATTCACGAGAAAAATTCAATCTTTGCCTTCTATGGTCTCTGGTCAATAATGGGCCAATTTATCCTCTTACAGGGTGTAGGTCATTTTCAGCAAGTCTTCTTCTAATCGTATTTTGGCTGATTCTAAAGTTATAACGATCCAAAAATTCATTTTGTAGAGAAGTACTGGTAACAAACCTTTGTCTCAGTGTACGAAGTGTCAAAAACCGGTCTTGATTATAAGTTGTAACCCTTCTACGGCCTTAACCGGGTCTTCTTGAGTTACTTCCAGTGACAAAAAAACGTGTTAATACTCTTGAAAGGGTTGACTGGGTGACCTTAAAATGTTCAGCGAGTTCTACTTGAGTGTATCCTTCTTTGCGAAGAGTAACGATTTTAAAATAGTCACTTTCTGACAAATTTCGATTTTCTTGATGCTGGTGGTTCATTTCAAAGAAAAAACACTTGATAAACTTGAAAACCCCCTTCAAACGTTCAGCACTATGTAATCTAACCCAACTAAATTCGAAATAAAATGAAGCACAATTAGCATGTTTTTAATGTTTTAGCAAACAATGGTAAAATCATCAGCCTTTTTTACCGTTTTTTCGATAAATTTTACAACATACCGGGGGTAACAATAATGTATTAGCACAAAAATCAAAACTTGATTTACCAGGGTTTTTAAAATTATGCGTTAATTTTGGGGTGCAGTGTATATATATATATATATATATATATATATATATACATATATATATATATATATATATGCATATAATATATATATATATATAATATATATTTATATATCTATATATATATATATATATATATATAATATATATATATATATATATATATATATATATATATATGTATATATATATATATATATATATATATATATGTATATAATATATATATATATATATATATATATAATATATTTATATATCTATATATATATAATATATATATATATATATATATATATGTATATAATATATATATATATATATATATATATATATATATTATATATATATATATATATATATATAATATAATTTATATATCTATATATATATGTATATAATATATATATATATATATATATATATATATATATATATATATATATATATATATATATATATATATATATATAATATTGACACATATTGTTAACATCTAACTTCATTATAACCGAACGCAACGCGTTATCGTCCGGTCCTTCTTGTTCCGAGTGGGGATTTATCTCTTGATACATATTTTTGCTCTTTTGCTCATGTGGATATTACAATCTTTTTTTATTTTCAGTGTCCAGTCGTTGATACACTCTAAGTTACATTTCCTTCTAATGTCTTCACCCCTCTTTCGATCTTGAAAAGCATCCTGCCACTCTATTAGCTTTTTGTACTTGATCTCTCACTTATTTGTCCAGGTCTCTATAGCTGAGCAGTGCATCCAAGATATTTTATTTCCATGTTTAATACGTGATTCTCTATGATACAGAAGATGGATTACATTTTTGAGTCTTACTTTGTTAAATAAGTCAATCAGACACAGAAATTCTGGTCTGTGATATTCTACTGATTTCTTAATTATTTACTCTATCTCAATTATTACATCTGTACATAATTTTTTAGTACGAAAATCCTGTTTTTCATCTGCTAAACTTATTCTCTGATTCATTAGTTACTGTAAACTTGTAGTTGTAAATTTTCGAGTAAGTAGTATTTAACAATTTTCTGGCTGTTTTTCACCTTTTTTTCCAATAGTAGAATTAGTTCACTAGTTCTTCATTTTTTCGATATTTTATGGTATTTTATTGTGTTTTACAATTCTCTTAATTAATGTTGTTGATTGCTCTATAATTCCTGCGCCACAATATTTCAGAAATTCGTTTGGTATTCCGTTTTTACTTGCAGCTTCTCTGTTCTTTAGCTTTTGCTTTTGAAATATTTTTCGAACTACCTGTGTATTTATAGTAACTTTTTCATTTGTCATAGTTTCTGGTGTTTTCGGTCCTAGGATAATTTGTTGTTCTTCTGCGTAGAGTTTTGTTAGGTAGTCAATCCATGTATCCATTTCTATGTGTTTTGGTCCTATGAGTTCCTTTACCTCCATTCTTTGACCTCTTATAAAGCGCCATATGTCCTTTTGCAGATTGTACAAATTATGTTCCCTTCTTTTCTAGTAATCATTTTTTATTCTGCTTACATTTTTCTTTGGTAATAATTATAATTACGCAATAAAGAGTCAAAAATTGCAAACTGGAATATTTTTTCCATGTTGTGCGTTACCCAGAGAGATATAATATACTTTCTTTAATAATACTAGGCAAGATAGATAGAAGAAGAAGGCCAGGTCGAAGACGAACACCATGGCTTAAAAATCTGAGAGAATGGTTTAGCAGATCGCCTGCATCCCTTTTTCGAGCTGCCCTTAACAAGATTAGTATATCCAGTTTGATACTCAAGGTATGATAATCGAGTAGAACATAAAAAGGGGAAGAATTAATTTGACCTATATTGAATAATTTTAATAAAATTTTGTAAGAATGAAAGCGATGTGGGTCTAAGCAACAAACAAAACTTAAACTCTAGCAAACCACTTTCTTTTTAATTATTGACTTCAGGCAATAATTTTTTAATACAGTAGAAGTCATGAAAAAAATTAAACCCAACTGAAATTTAATCTACCTCTATTTGACAAAAGTTTGCTTTTAAAATTAAACAAATTTATTTTATATTTATTTTAAAATAAAACAATACAAAAGTTATTTTATAAGCTTCCACATAATTTGATCTAATAAATTGATTTATATTTACTCACCAAGTTACCTTAAGGCTCTTACGTTCAATAAAAAAAAATAAGGTGGACTCTATGCTAGTGAAAAAACAGCTAACCGCGAAGTAGGAGACAATGAAAGAGCTAATGAACTTGTGAGAAGAGTGTCAGATACACAGTATTTCTGCCCAGAGTCGGCTGCGGGAGTGGAAAAAACATTGCCCGACCGGAAAAAGCCTGGTACCTCAATAACTGTATAAAATGGTATAGGTTTCCAGAATCCCCAAATGGATATAATTAATGACTGAAATATGTAAAATAAATCAACCTTTTTTTAAAACTTACTTGTGCCGCTTCTCTATTGTCTGGTTGTTGTTGTCCAAATCCACCAGTATAACTCCAATCTCCAGTATTTCTTTGAGTGGTAGGTCCAATTTTAGCACCAGATCCTGACCAGAACCATCCGTTGATATTTGGTGGCTGTAGATCAGCTCGTTCGCAACCAGCAAAGTTGCATTTTCTACCAGAAGTCCAGATGTAACGAACATTACCTACGAGTAAAATTAAAAGTGAAGTTTTGCTACATATTGTCTAGTTCAAGTATGTTTTGTAACTATTTGAAATTTAATTAACTCCGAATATGTCATCATGCCATACTATTTGGTCCCTACGAAAACTTTCTAGATTTTGTTAATATTGTTTTATAAAATATTGGTCATACAACTGTAGCATGTTGAATTTTTTTTAAACTATGAAATATTTATGTAATAAATTCTCCAGTACGCTCCTGCTTACTATAAAATATTGCCAAGTCTTGTGATCATTTTCTAAGTTAATCCAAGTTTATTTTCACGATTCGGTAAGTCAAACGAATTTAGCTGATTCGTTGGTATGTAGCAGGACATATTTAAGAAAAGCTTAAATACGCGCAATACCGCGAAACGATTACCGGCAACATGGTGACCCCTACTCCTGCCCACACCGCTCAGGCCACGTCAGTACATACCGTTCCCGCGCGTACAGCGAGTATAAAAGCAGCGACACAGGGTAGGACTGGTTGTACAATATAGCCTCACTACGGCTAAGAATCAACGAACTACGGGAGACAGTGATAAGGCACAATCCGGACATCATCTGCCTCTCAGAAACACTCTACATGACGACAACACAGCTGCCAAGGATAACAAATTATGATGGAATCGGAAGAAGAGACGAACCAAACAAAAGAGGAGTGGCTATATATGTTAAAAATAACATTGAATGGAACCAAATAGCCGTGGACACAAATGAATTTGAAAATATAGGAGTCAAAATCGGAAACACTAATATTTTCTCTATTTACAGGAAACATTCGGAGATTCTAGCAATTGAAGAAATAGATGCCATGCTTAACTCAGCACCAACCGTCGTCTTAGCGGGAGATTTCAACGCCAAACATGAAGCCTGGGGATGTTATGCAAATTCAAGACCCGGCATTGCATTACTAAGATACACAGAAGACAGGAACAAAATGATATTTGCTCCAGACGAGCCTACAAGAATCAGCCCCCAGAGAGATCAACACAACTCAACGTTGGACTTTTTCATCACAAAAGACGTCATTATAGAAGATGTAAGGGCCTACTTTGAATGCAGTTCGGATCACAAACCAGTGATAGGAAAGATGACTTCAAGAATCGACTTACCAACAATAGAACCGGTAGAAAGATGGAGATGGAAGGATGCAAATTGGCCAAATTATAGAAGACAACTAAACCAAATAGAGATGAAAAGAGAATTCCAATCCATAGAAGAAGTTGAAGGAAAAATAGAAGAACTAACAAGAAAAATACAACAAGCCATGGAGGACAACGTACCAAAATCAATGACGAACAACAAAGGACTAATTATCCCTACGGAACTTCAGGACATCATCAAGGACAGAAATAAGGCCAGAAGAGCATTCCAAAGAACAAGAAGACAAGAATTTAAGGACTACGGAGATGCACTATCAGAAGAAATAAGAGTAAGACTGAGGAGTCTTACTGAAAACCAGTGGCATAACAACATTAGGAAAGCTGAAGAACAACATGGAAACGTATGGAAAATGCTGAAAGCCAAAAGAAGAGGGAAACAAAAGATGCCACAAATCATCGACGAAGAAGGAACTCACTTCGAAACACAAGGAAAAGTGGATGCAATAGCAAGAAGATTGGCAGCTACGCACAGACAAAACCAAAACATGTCAGATGCAAGAACAAGACAAGAAGTAGAAGAAGAATACAACAGAATAAAAAGAAGAAATGAATTCCAAATAGAAGCAGAAGATTTCACCAGCCCATACGAAGTAGGAAGAATCATCAGGAAACTTAAAGGAAGCAGAGCCCCAGGACACGAAGGAATCAACAACATCACGCTAAAGGAACTTCCAAAGAAGATAATAGTCCAACTCTACTACATCTACAAATTTTGCTTGGAAAAAGGACACTTTCCAAGCAACTGGAAGCACGCAAAAATTATACCCCTCCTAAAACCCAGGAAAGACGGAAGAAGACCGGAAAACTATAGGCCTATTTCTCTCCTAGAAACGATGGGAAAAATACTAGAAAAAATAATCTTCAAGAGACTGACAAAACATACTGAAAGAAGAAGAATTATCCAAGAAGACCAGTTCGGATTTAGAAGAGGAAGAAATTGCGAACTACAACTGGCAAGAATAATCAGCGATACGAAAATAAAGTTCAACAGGAAACAAAAAACAGGATTAGCTATATTGGATATAGAAAAGGCATACGACACGGTTTGGAAAAAGGCACTTATCTTCAAAATGGACAGAGCTAGACTCCCACATTATTTAATCAACATTTGTGATATTTATCTATCTAATAGAACCTTTCAAATTTCAGCTGACCAAAAGATGTCAACAATTCAAGAAATCCAGGAAGGAATGCCTCAGGGCAGCATTTTATCTCCATTACTCTACAATATATTTGTTTCAGATTTACCTACAGATCATAGAACTTCCACAGCCCTATATGCAGATGATACAGCGGTATATGCATCCGGAAAAGATGACAGAAGAGTTATAAGAAATATGGAAAACCACTTAGAAAAAATCACGGAGTACACTGAAAAATGGAAGATAAAAATCAACGCGGAGAAGACACAATTCATCATGTTCACCCAAGAGACGAGACCACCACCGAACGAGATAACAGTAGGAGGAAACAGAATACAGGCAGCGGAATCAGTCAAATATTTAGGAGTCCACCTCGATAGAAGGCTTAATTTCCGGATTCACGCAGAAAAAATCAAGGTAAAAGGTAATATTGCTAAGAAATTGATACTTCCTTTTGTTCACAGGTCCAGCCCCCTATCGAAGGCCAAGAAAATCCAGTTGTGCCCACAGAGACAGCGTGTTACCGGATAATCGAAGGTTCACCATGGGAACAGAGAATCACGAACACAACCATCAAAGAAAGGCTCCAGTACACACCACTGAGGGAGTACTTCTTCCACCAGGCCACAAGAAGACTCCAAAAGACCAGGGATATCCTCGAGAAGAACAGGATCCAGAGGATACATAGACAAACCCACAGACTGATCGACCACCTGATCAGGGTCTAGCCGGATGGTTGCCGGAAAACAGCCAAGCAGGGAAGTAGGTACGATGCCATAAAAAGTACCTACAGAAAAAGACGAGGAAACCACCCAGAGAAGTCCAGGATGCCGAAAGGAGAACAAACCAGAAGAAGATGGTGCAAAAGCGGAACATCAGGAAGAAAGAAGGCTAAAATTTTTTAAGTTGACATGTATATATTATTAGGGCAATAAATGTTTTTATTTTTTATTTTTATTTTTATTTTTATAGACCGGTTGTCACTCGACACTGAGGAGTAGGTAGATTGAGACCTCAGTGCCGTGAGACAGTTCTTGTATTTATAATACAGAAAACGATACTGGTACGTTTCGAGTGAGGGAAGTAGGCAGATTGAGACCCCGATCTCGAACCGTCGAGCATTAAATTCTCAACGCGGTTCTTCCCGAGAACCTAGTGATTTTCATCCATCTGACCGCGGAAATCTATTTGAACATATATATATATATATATATATATATATATATATATATATATATATATATATATATATATATATACAGGGTGGTGAATCGTCAAACGGACCATTCACCACCCTGTATATATATATATATATATATATATATATATATATATATATATATATATATATATATTCCCTAATTATTTTACACCAAAAGTCATATGAAACTATTTGTAGAGGACTCAAATATGTATCGAAAACAATTGTTAAAATTGTTCTACGACTTAAGGTCGATTCAGACACCAGTTCCGTCATAGTCTCGGCGCCGAACCGGTCCTGTTTGGTCACAGAACTATCAACTATCTGACAGCTGGGAAACTGTTTGTCAACTAATGAGTGTGAATACCGGCAACATATTTGTATTAAAGAATATTTTGTACGACGGATTGTTCGGTTCGGCGCAATCACTGTGACGAGACGTGACTGATGTGTCTGAATCAACCTTTAAACGTATTCCAAAATTTTGCTAAAATATAATACATTTTTCAGGCCACCCCTAAAAGTCAGGCCAGACGCCGTGAAAAGAATGTGTATTACGTGTTGCGTTTTGTCATATTGACGTTTCTAATATTTGACAATATTTAAATCGACTATATTATATTTATCTATGATTTAAATCACCAAAATTTTGTGATATATTATTTAAAAGGAAAATTAAGCTGATTAAAAATGTACTCAGTTAAGGAGAAAAGAGCAATAATAAAAATGTTTTATTCATGTTTTATTATAACATTTGTTATTGTTTTATGTTTAGAAATTATCGTATATTATTATTAGGAACAAAGATCACAGTAGCAGTATATTGGAATTTATTGAATTTTTGTATATCTTAACTTAACATGGAATTAAATTTTAGTGTATTAGAATATCTTACGTTAAATAAAGATCCGGTAGTGACAGGAAAAGGTTCGCGCTATTGCTTGAATACAACATTATGCGATTTTTCGTCAACTGAGTACATTTCATTATATTGATCGATTTGTAAACAATATAATTTATTATTCACAAAGTAATATTGTTCAGTAGTAGTAGTATTTAGTAAAATTCATTGTTTATAATTTAATTATAAAATAAAGAAAAATTGACAATTCAGATTGTCAAACATCTGACATTAATATGATAAAACACACACGTTATAATATATTCTTGTATTACGTGTGGCCTAATTTTTAGGGGTGGTCTGAAAAATCTATTATATTTTTGCAAAATTTTGAAGTACATTTGATTCGTAGAACGGTTTTAACA